TTCAAAGTCATGCTCAACCATGCTGAGACGAGCAAAGCATGTCAATTTCAACCATGCGGGTGAACTCCCAAGAGGCGTGAACAATGCTGGAACTTGTTCTTCTCCATCAGCATCAGCAGTTTGACAATTGCCGTCAGGCTGCAAACCGGCATAGCAATCTAGCGCCCGTGATCCTTCAAGCGTGATGGGTCGACCGTGCAATTGGTCTTCCTCCACAAGCCGGCCGTAAATGTCGCGAACGTTGTCCCCGAGTGCGACTATGCGAGCTTTGAATCGGTGCTGGGATTGATCGAGTTCGTAATGCTTGATCCCCAAGATGAGGTTTGCCTTCGCGTACTCCACATCAGGGCCGTACTTGGCCACAGCGGTTTCCCATTCACATGCCTCAGACTCCCAAGTCCGCTTCGACGCGTGGTTTGCCGCCTCTTTGCGGATAGCTTCAAGCGCAGCGTTTGTGTCCCACTCTGGATCTCTTCGTTTGACGATCTTGGTGATGCAAGCGAACATCTTCCCCAGCTCAGTTGTCAGCTTGTCCAGCTCCTGCTCAAGCCTAAGTGCTGCAGGCGTTGTGAGAACCGTTTCACCACGGACAACTGTGCTGAGCCCAGATCGATCGCTTTCAAATGTCACCGTGGAGGAAATAGCTGCATTGTCGCGATCATTGGTTGGTTGCTGCGATCTCTCCGAATCAGCGTCCGAACTGTGCATGCCGTCTGGCCGTAACTCCGTGCTGGTCCGATTGTGACTGCTGGAGGCCGGCCTGGATCGCTCCGAATCCGCATCTGATGGGTGTGATCCAACCTGGAATGGAGATGAACTTGAGACGGGATTCTGCGCAACATCTGGGCTTTGAGGAGCGCGCTCCGAATCCGCATCCGATGGATGCGACCCGCGGTGGGCGGATGAAGATGTAAGATCGGCGGCAACCCGGTTTGACAGCGGAGTTGATGGCGCTAAGTCGGGGCGAAGCGGCACTAGGCCACTATCCATGCTGTCATCGAAATGGGGGCCATACTTGTGTTCGGGAGGCATTTGTGCATCAGTGAACAAGTCCACTCGCCAGCGCGGCCTGCGTGGCGAGGCATCCGTATGGCAACGTCCATCGCCTTCATCGTCAGGCGGTGGGCCCATGTCATCATCGTCGTGTGCGTCATGCGATGTCGAAAACCTGGAGCTTGACGAATCCATGGAGGAGTCGATGACGCCCCCCGCAACCATCCACATGCCGACGACGACCACCGCCAAGCAAACATCCACGGCAGTGGATGTCCGCATCAGTGGCCCACAAGCCGCAAAGTACACACCGGCCGTCATCTCCAGCAACGGGCGTTGGTTGCAACACCTCCGGCTCGAACAAACGTTGGGCCCAGTATGCCGCATCAGGGTTGTCCATGCCCAGCTCGTGAAATGGCCAGCGCACCTGAGGGGGAAGCGCACATCACGTGTGTGCACAATCCGGGCCTCGCCCTTCGTCTCGACGTAATGTTCGAAATCCAGGACGTAGTATGACTGCAAGCGGCTATACCCCAACACCACACCAAGCCGTCCACGAGATGCAAACTTCTCATGTTCCTCTGACAGGTCGTAGGACGCAGAGCCGAATGGACGCAACTTGCTTAAATCATAGGAACGATTGAAGCGCATCTGGTAGGGTGAGTCAGTACCACCTGCACCCGGGCTGCGCGCATAAAAAAAAAAAGAGGAAGGCCATGAGACAGAACGTCCAGAAAGCATACGGGACTCCAGACGCAACAAAAAAGGCAAGCCATGCCTTCCGCAACTGTGCGGTGCAATCGCTCAGCACGGGAGTTTGTCTGAGGTCGACGTGGCAAGGAACGTTCGTGTCTGATTTTCCGTTCCTTGAGTTTGGCAGCGAACTCGCCCTGGAACTCGCCACCATTGTCCGTCCTGACTGAAGACACTGACTGGTTCCCATACATGTCGTCGAAAGCGGCAGCGGCTTCGGAAGCCTGCTTGGTGCGCAAAGCATGTGCTGCCGGGTACCCCGTTGCATCATCATGCGTAATCATGGCATACACCTCGTTATTGATGCTGGGGCGTGTAGGGCCGACAAGATCACAGTGAATGCGTTCCCCGTGAACTCGAGCTGTCTGCTTGTCATCTTCGACAGCTTGCTTTTTGCCAGCCGCTGGAGCTCGACACATGTTTGCTTGCAAGCACACTTCGCAGGTGGGGTCCTTCGGGTAGTGAGCCAAGCAATGTTGATCCGCAGGCTGCGACTGCGTCGCCAATGCAAGGGGGACCGAAAGGTTAGCGAGTTTTGTCTCACCAAGCGTCAAGCAAAACTCCCGAAACATGTGAGCGAAGAAATCGTTCAAGTCTGTGTCGCTTGCAGCCTCAATCAAGCTTGCCGGACCAGCATCGACTGCGCTCAATAGAAACGGGACGCGATTGACCATGGTGAGCGGCACCTCGCTGGAAACACCGTAGCGCCAGAAATGTGGCTGCTCAGACCATGTGGGCCAGTAGAAATGATACCCCAGCTCGGCGCAAGTTTCGCCCATCGACGCCATGTTGATTTTAGAGTCCGGCATCACCATAGCCGAGCGACGCCCGAGATGCGGAACCATGGCGTCCAGCATAGCTGTTGGCCGAGCCGTGCCGGCGCCGGTGTCGATATCGCAGTCTGCATTTTGCATTGTCTCCCAAACGGCATCATCGGCATTGTCGCCCATGGTGCAGAACTGGCTGGCTCCGGAATCCAGAGCCCATGCCGCACCTGCAAACTGTTGAAAATCGTCAGGCTTGACATCGGCAAGCCACGCGGAGCCACCGAAACGTTTGGTGAGAAACTCCGAAAACGCTTTGGTGAGGACATTTGCCGGAACTGCAGGCCCAGGCCGAGCGCCCATGGACGCTGCCCCCAATCCAGGCGGCGCAGATGCCCCACCGCTTGACGAAGAGGCATTGATCTTCGCCGCGAAGTCCGGTCTGTACGCGGAACTCTTTGGAAAAGTGCTGTGTGTGTCCGGGCTTGTGACAATGATCACAAGGCTTGTCATTGCCTTTCTTGTTCTTGCTCTTGCCTTTGCCTCCCTGTGATTTGCCGCCCGCTGCCGTGGCAGCAGCGACCTTGGCCGCAGCAGCCTTTTTCTGTGCTTTTCGCCTCTCAATCTCCTCAGAGTGATGTGCAACCAAACCGTTGATGGCATATATCAAGGCGTCTAGATCCACAGAATTCCTGGCATTGAAAACGGCAAAAGTGGCATCCATTTCTTTGATATCCTTGAGCTTGCGCTTCAGAAGCGCAATGCCCCCAGCATTGGTGAGCTTATGCTCGCCGGAACCCATCTGGTGGCGATACAACGAAAAAGATGCCATGTAGTTGTCAAGCTCCGACAATCCAGAACAACTGAGCTCTTGAATCTTGGTGTTAGCCTCCGTGGCTAAATGTGTTGACTCATGCAAATGCCGCTGGTCAACGATGCGGACAGCTTGACGACCACAGCCAAACTGTGCACGTGATTGTATAAGCTTGAGAATCTCTGGTCCTTTCTTTCCCTTCTGACATGCGGCAACCACTGCCGCGAAAACATTCACATCTGTTTTGTTCATGTCTACGGACAAGTTTGGCAAATCGCCAAAAGAAACAGATTCATCATCAAGCTCTCTGATATAAGCCATGGCAGCAACTGGGTCCGGTGCTACCCGCAAGATTTGACTCTTCAAACTGAAGCGCCAGCCCTCATAATCAGAACCAGTTTCTGGCAGATCTTTAATGTAGATGCGCCCTGACGTCGCATCGTCTGTCGCCATGGAACCGTTGAGCTACGGCTGATGACCCTGTGTTGGTCTCAGCTCAAGCAATGCACAGATACACACAGCTTCGACGGAACAAATGTTTTCACCCGGTCACTTGAGCCAAGGCATTGCCAAGGCAAGTCTGCAAAAGGCATGTCTGATGCAATCACTCTAGAGTGACTCTGCGTGACATGCGAGGCACGTTCAGTGAGCAAGTACTTAAACTGCCCACAAGTGCTACCACTGTCACTTATACTTTCAAATCTGTTAATATTGACGGCGGATCTTCATTCTGAGATCGTGCATCGGCCACCCCGGATTCATAAACGCCTGGGCGGATGCACGTCTGCACACCGAGCGTCAGCTTCTGGACCTGTTGCCGCACGTGCCGGATCTGTAGTGCGGTTTTTGCGTTTTTTTTACGTGTTTTCGCTGCGCATGTGCGCAGCACCACGGGCCAAACACGCTAGTCGCACCATGCCCAAGTCGCAGAACACTGGCGAGCCTTCCAGCTTGTTGCCGCAACCCTACCCCAAGTGTTTGAGCGCACATTGAGCACCTTTCAAGGTCGAGCTTCCCATTGTTTTCTCCGCCTGACAAAGCATAGGGTGGCATTGCCGCACTTGAGTTTTAAATTTTTCGCGTGACAGACCCACAGTTTGCGGACACGGTTTCCCCGTTTGATGTCCCATGTGAGGACATCCTGTGTTTTTTTGTTTGGGCCAGGACACCGCCCAGCACAAGCCGACCGACCGACGCAGCAATGCCAGTTTGACGGAGACCGGCACTGTTGTTATTCGCATGCTGTTCAACCATGCGAAGTTCAGCTGTCGAATTGAAGGATGATATCGTGCCCCGTTTGGGGGTCGATGCGTGCGACGAGGGGACCAGCCCATCGGGAGCATGTTTTTGATCTCCATCCTTGCAACACTGAAACTTCGGAAGCAATTGGGCGAGTATTGAATAGCGCGCTTAGATTTTAAAGGAGTCGAAAGCAGGGATCCGCACAGGAGCGCCCCGTTTCTACCAAGAAACACTACAGCCGCGAGGATGGGAGCACGCAACCGCTTCAGCGCCGGCGGGGCGACCTCATGCTTTCTCTGTTTGTCTAAAAAATCCATGGCGTCACATCATCCCCCGCGGCGCGAAAGCCATGAACTGCCAAAGCAGTGCTGCAACATTCGGAGCAGGTTTTACCGAATGTGAAAGCTTAAGACAACATAGGATAGTTTCGCCAGGACAGTGATGCCGACCTTCTGGCTTCCTATGTCAACTTGAAGTCCTTGGTGCCGGGCATCGATGAAATGATCAACGAGGTAGGTCTCTTCGCACCACGTCGTATCGAACAGCATGTTGGAAGTGCCAGGATTCAAAAGTGCCGCGCTTACCACCGGCTTGCGTGCAAGGTGGCTGTTTGTTGAAAGCTCTTATTCTGTGCAATGGTCGTCAGTTGCAACAATGATGGTTCCCGGTTCTGGCGTGAGCCAGGCTTCCTGTCGAATGGCCTGACATATTTCGTTATGCAGAGTCGTGGCAGCACTCCACCTTGCCTGTCAGCTCAGAAAAAACGTGCAAGCTCAACGCCGCATGTAAGAGACTTAACGAAGGAACCGTGAACCCAAGTCACGCGCGGAGCTGTTCTTGGTTGTCGGTTTCGGGTCTTTGGTGGAGGATGACGAGGCCCGCAGAGCACAGCAGCAATTCAGAAATTCGGAGTGTCGGCTCAATGCAGCTATTCTGCAGGGTTCGTTGTTTGTTTGCATCGGGGATTTTTGCTCAGGCTGAAATTAGTTAAGCATTGCACCGTAATGATTTCATGGTTGGAAGCACGGCGGGCCGAAATACGATGCGTTTCTTGGCATGTGATCAATTTTTGTAGGCTTATGGAAGTCCTCCTCCCTACCAGGAGCGTGGAATCGCCCACATCATCGAGCACTTGGGGCGATTGTCCCAGCCGTCCACGCATGTGAGCAGAGTTGAGCTTGAAGCGGATGTCCAGCATGAATCAAACAAAATGCTTTCGCTCAGGTTTTCCGCGACCAAAGCATACGAAAATCATGCCATCGTGAAATTCTTGGAGTCCATCGGGGCACCTTTTGGTGCATGCCAGATGCTCGTTTAGAGAGTTTCGTTGTGTTGGTGATATAGACATCATTCCAGCATGGAAAAAACCAGATCAGCCATCTGAATAAGTTCAGCCTTTTCGTAGTGAGTGCGATTCTGCCCAACATTTGTCTCAGGAATGCGTACACCAGTTTTGACCGGACGGTGTGCCTCGTTGTGAAGCTGTTGAGGGCATTTGCGCCATGCCAACCAGAGCAAGAACGTTCGGTGTATCAATTTCTCTGAGGTACACGCTTCACGTGCCCACCGACAAAGACGGTATAGTGGAAGAGTCCCTGAAGCTCGCTGCAGCTTGTGTGCGCACCCCCGGGCTGACTTGTCACCTAAACGTGGTTGAGGCCCATGGATAATTGACGTCATGCTCACCGTTTGATTGCTCACCGCGTTATCGCATGTGTTGACCTTCGATAATTCTCAGCTTTTGTTCGGTATTCGTTGATGACAGAATGAAATACAGAATAGACCCGACGCCTGCAACTACGACATTACCGAGCGCATCTTGCAAGTGAGTGCGGCGCACCTTTCGCAGCTGCTTCTCTCAAGCCTTCCAGCTTGAGCGGTTGAACTGCCCTTGGGGCACCTAGCCGACTACCGTATAGAGGGTCAAAAAGGAAAATGCAAGAAGTATGTGGATGAGGAGGTTGACAGAATGGGCGGAGCTGCTCCAGAGTGGCCAACACTGCTCCGGCCGTGAAGAGCTTCAGCGAGCTGGATCAAAAAAGGAGCTCGGCACGGGGGCCCGAAAGAAATAAACCAAAGGATGACCACGGTGGAGATAGTGGACCCTCAAAATGGAGAGTCATGAAATGTTCCGATTACAGTTTGGGTTGATCTTCGCTTTGCGGGGGGTCCTGATGACCGGAAGAACTTTGGCAAGTTATGGTCCTCTTTCATCAGTTTAAGCACCGGATTGGACATGAATGAGTGTCACGACGTGTTGATTGCCCCGTGGGATCATTTTTCATGGAAGATCCGAGCTATCAAGTGGTGTTCCAATCATGCGTGTACGAGCTTTGAGCTGTTTGATGACAAGAAATCGGACAATGTAGGCCATTGGAGGATGCATACTTCCTACAAGAAAGAGATTGCCACTTGAAGTGTTGAAGAATTTTTCGAGACTGTAAGCTCAAAAACAGTTTCGAGCCACAACTTCCTGCACACCAATCTGCCGTTGCGGTAGAAGCTACGCTAAGTGAAGACCTTCTAGTGAGCACGGCAGTCATGGCATCTTCTTCATTGCCAGTGATCTCCCTCGATGAGCGCCGCCGGCGTTTCGGAGGGTTCTCAGGGACCCCAATGCCTCGCGGAAGCGATGGCCTTGGAGAAGCCGGCGTACTTCAAGGATGCCTATGGGGTGATCAAAGAGGCTTACCAATACAAGTTGGTTGAGCCCACCGCGGACGACAAGCCTGATGGGATTCTCCTCGGAAGGATCCAGAACGGGGAATGGCTTGGTCTGCGGAAGCAGTACCCCCATGCAGGCTTGCCATTGCTCTATGAAACGTGGCATAGGCACTTCAACTACCCTGCGCACCAGGGGTTGCTTCCTAACGGAGTGGGCTGAGCTAGTGAAAACTTACCTCCGTGACATTGCGTTCGTAGGCCATGCCACCAATGCTGAGAGAGCCCTGGAAGCTACCGGACCTTTTTGAGATCTGCCACAGAGCCTACGTGCTATCTCAGGAACCACGAGCTCATGCCAGCGGCCACTGCTTTGCTGGACTCAGAGTACACCCCAGCGCTTCGCCGAATCGAGCATCAGGAACAGCCGAGCTCGTACTTCATCATCGGCGGCGACAGCTCTCTTGCTCTCGCTACTGGGGAGGACGGCCGTGTTCTCAAGAAGGGCACTATGGAGCCGTCACTCCAGGAGATGACCAAGGATGTCAGAATGGACGGATGCTCTGTTGTTATGCGATGGGGCAAGGGTCTCGGTGATATTGTTTGGTATGTTGAGCAGGAGTTGAATCGTATGCAGCGCTAGCGCAATGGGAAGGAGCCCCTCGCACCGGAAGGTGTGGACATCATTATCCAATGGGGAGGCAATGCATGATGTCTACGGTGAGTATGGGTACCAGGGTTTCTCGTTCCATGTGCGGAATGCCTGGGTAAGAGTAGATGATGAGCTGCACGAGACGCTCGCCACCTGGGAGACGAAGGCGCTCAAGGCCGTCGAGGATGCAGCAAAGGACGCCTTGGTGCAGCCTTCCTGCCGGAAGGGAGTGTCTTCGGAAACACTGGTTGCTGGCCCACAGGGAGACGTCTACCAGCTCACCGAGGTGTATGACAAGGAGATGGGCCGTCACACGGATGAACTCAAGGACCCGGGCATTCGCGTCATCGACCCACAAGCGCTCATTTTGGCGACGGAATGTTATGATGCCTTCCACATGGAGGCGACATACGACAACGTCCAGATGACCATTAGGTGGTACTTTCACTTGCGTTCCGCCATTATGTTCGAGCGGTGGCTGGTCAAGCATGCCGTCGAGTTGAAGGCCAACTCGCGTGGTATCCTTTTCCACAACCACTTTCACCTGGGTCTCGGCTTGGAGGAGCTCGACGTACCTCCAGCAACTGACTTGCTCATTCCGGCCGAGGCCGGAGGTTTCGCGAGGAGATCGTGCTAAACCAGCCGAGCTTGAGGGGGTGTCTCCCATCGATTACGTGGGCGAGGTCTCGCGAGAGGCCGAAGACCTCACTGTTGAGGATGTGGTTACCCGTACCCCGAATCCCGATGAGGAGCATCTCACCGTGTGGAAACGGTTGACCCAGGTTCTGAAGTAGAGGAGATTGTGCGGAACATGATTGCGTCGGTGGATCTTGTGATGACGTCTGAGGAGGCAGCAGAGGTCGACGCAGAGAAGGGCATTGCTCCATATGAGTATGTCGAGCCGGATGTTACAGCGACATCCGTCATGGATGGAGAGGCAATTTACAATCGCCACATCCGATATCCCGACGGAAGTCTGGGACTCTGGTCCAATGACTGTCGACTACGATGCGGACATGGGAATGGTGAAATGGAATGCATCTCTCTGGGCAAAAAGCTGTCATGCCTTCGCGGCCATGCTAAGGAGAAAGGTTTCCGCACCGTCGGGTTCGATGATGAGCAGGCCGCGGACATAGGTGAGACCCTCATCGGAAACAGTGGCCGCGTATTACTGTTATGACGATCATCGACCTGCTCACCTCCCGGCATTGCGACAAGGGTCGCTTCGAACTCCAAGCAGAAGGCTTGGACGAGGAGACGATGAACGGGCGGGGCGCGAATTGGCACTTCACTCGCATTCGTGCCTTCCAGAGTCACAACGCCTGTCAGTGGGGTCTCGACGACCACTGGTTCCCTCCTACAACACGTTGCCATTGACTGGGCCCTATCCTTACAGGGCGACCTCGTTTGACCTTATGCCAAAGCTTGGCTACCATGCCACTTATTGGTGCAACGTTGCGAAGATTGTCAACGCAGGTCTCATCCCGGGAGGGACAATGACGTCAAACGGCAACAGCGGCCGGCCTTTCAACATGATGGCTACGGAACCCTGTCGAGCTCCCCGTGCTAGAATAGGCAGGGTAGAAGTTCCACTCGTTGACCCCTTCTGAGAACAGTCAATGTCAAGCCTTGAAGGCTCAACATGCGGAGCTGAGCTCCGATGACAACTGTATTAGGACAGGCGCTTGAATTCACGATAGTACAGAGCATGCGATAGCACTCGGACAGAATGCTAGAGTAGCAAGCTTCGACATTTCTGAGTGTTGGAAAAGTGATCCCTCCTTTGTGAGTCCATGTGATTACCACCTGGCTGATCTGGTTTTGACAGCTGTTACGAACTACATTCATGGCATCTGGAGAGGAAGGGCGTGACGCCCCTAACACAAATTCGATGAGTGATGATTTTCAGGTTATGAGTCGCCCAAATGCTACCCCTACGCTCACCGCTGTGGATGACACGAGAGCTACGGTTACGGTGAATGGGATTACCTCCCTTTGTGTTGGGGTTCCTACGTCTCTTGGACCGCTTGCTATGGATGGTGAGACTACAACACCAGCGAATGATCTGGGCTCTGCACGAGGTCTCGGACAACGGCAGGGTTCGAGAGGAACTTCGCTACCTGATCAAGATGATGAAGCCGCTAGGGGTTTTCTGCTTGGCCCGAGTGGCGAAGCGAGAGCCTCTGGCGGGATTCCAGCGCCGCCGGCTACTCCAAGGCCTCGAAGATCGGGTCTAAGGCCGCCTTCGACTTCGTCGAGTGACATCCAGAATGAGGTTCGCAGGCACAGCTTCAGGAGCTTTTGAGTCAGAGAGACGAGGAAACTAGGGCTTGAGGTCGCAGGTAGATCTTTTGATGTCTGAGAATCAGATGCTACAAAGGCACAGGGCCGAGTTGACGGCACAGATGTGTAGTAGAGAGTTTGCTGCGCGTTCGGAGAGTCAGAGTTTTTCCCGAAAGCATCGCGAAGGGTTCTTCCGTGCGGAGCAGGATAACTGAGTACATAGTCAACTTATTTGACTCTATACCTTACTTGACTCTACACTTGATACTTGACTCTAGATGTCTCTGCACTTGAAACTGACTTACTTACTTGACTCTGTGCTATCTCTATACTTGCTTTCTGACTTACTTACTTGGAACTGACTTACTTACTTGACTCTGCACTTGAAACTGACTTACTTACTTGACTCTGTGCTATCTCTATACTTGCTTTCTGACTTGCTTACTTGGAACTGACTTACTTACTTGACTCTGTGCTATCCCTGAAACTGACTTACTTACTTGACTCTGTGCTATCCCCATACTTACGTACTGACTGACTTACTTACTACTTACTGACTTACTTACTGACTCTACTTACTTACCTATGACTGACTCTCTATGCATCTATGACTTACTCTCTACATCTCGGTATCTTAATATCTCTTTTAAAGGCGGGGGTGGCACCGTCGGGGTCCATCGGGAATGCAACCCTTCACAGGGATTCGCCTCCTCGGGCGTTCAAACGCGAGGTAAAGTTACACATTTTAGGGTTCCCGCGCAACCCTTCCCAGGGATTCGCCTCCTCGGGCGTTCAAACGCGAGGTAAAGTTAGACATTTTAGGCGCGCGGGTGAACCCTTCACAGGGATTCGCTGCCTCGGGCGTTCAAACGCGAGGTAAAGTTACACACTTTAGGCGCCCGGCGCAACCCTTCACAGGGATTCGCCTCCTCGGGCGTTCAAACGCGAGGTAAAGTTACACTTCTTGCGGGCGCCGCGCAACCCTTCACAGGGATTCGCCT